ACACAAACACTTGACGAATCCCTGACATAGACAAGCGCCACAAGGGCCGATTTGAATTTGAGCTCACTGTGTCCTAACCTTCTCTGTGAGGGTGAGAGTTGGTGTGGGGAAATGACAATCGTGGAGATCAATAGCAACCGTCTAACCATTTAACAGACCAAGTCCCGATGGTAAACTTGTGGTCCCCGCACTATCTTACACCTATTGTGTGGACATTGTGTGGACATTGTGTGGTCATTGTGTGGACATAGTGTGGACATTGTGTGGAATTTGTGTGGAGATTGTGTGGACGTTGTGTAGACATTAGGTGGACAGTGTGTGGACATTGTGTGGACATTGTGTAGACATTGTGTGGACAGTGTGTGGACATTGTGTGGACATTGTGTGGACATTGTGTGGACATTGTGTGGACATTGTGTAGACATTGTGTGGACATTGTGTGGACATTGTGTGGACATTGTGTGGACATTGTGTGGACATTGTGTGGACATTGTGTGGACATTGTGTGGACATTGTGTAGACATTGTGTGGACATTGTGTGGACGTTGTGTGGAGATTGTGTGGACATTGTGTGGACATTGTGTGGACATTGTGTGGACATTGTGTGGACATTGTGTGGACATTGTGTCCTAGTCCTAGAGCCCACAACTTTTGTCCTAGTCCTAGAGCCTACAACTATTGTCCTAGAGCCTACAACTATTGTCCTAGTCCTAGAGCCTACAACTATTGTCCTAGTCCTAGAGCCCACAACTATTGTCCTAGTCCTAGAGCCTACAACTATTGTCCTAGTTGTCCTAGTCCTAGAGCCTACAACTATTGTCCTAGTCCTAGAGCCTACAACTATTGTCCTAGTCCTAGAGCCTACAACTATTGTCCTAGTCCTAGAGCCTACAACTATTGTCCTAGTCCTAGAGCCTACAACTATTGTCCTAGTCCTAGAGCCTACAACTATTGTCCTAGTCCTAGAGCCTACAACTATTGTCCTAGTCCTAGAGCCTACAACTATTGTCCTAGTTGTCCTAGAGCCTACAACTATTGTCCTAGTCCTAGAGACTACAACTATTGTCCTAGTTGTCCTAGAGCCTACAACTATTGTCCTAGTCCTAGAGCCTACAACTATTGTCCTAGTCCTACATCCTACAACTATTGTCCTAGTCCTACATCCTACAACTATTGTCCTAAAGACCACAGAATGTTCCAGACCGTCAAGCACCGAGTTCTGCCCACCAACACACTGAAAGACGTATTCATCAGCGCCTGTAACGTACTTTTGTTTCAGCTAATATAAATAGGATCGATTTCTGGAACTCGGCTAACAATCATCGCACAATTAACGGAATCCTAAATATATTATTCCGCTGCCGCCGGGGGGCAGGAAGGGTGGGGAGCGGGTGAAGATGGGGGGGGGGAAGCAGCCAATCAGATCCACGATAAAATAGTCACGTGAGACAGTGTCCAGCTCGTCACGTGACTGTCCACTACGTCGCCTGAAAGATTTTAGGACACGGTGGTTCAGAGACTTGATATTTGTTTAAAGCAGGGACGTATGGCATTAAATGACGTCAATCCACAGACGTCAACCTTCAGGCGTATGCTCCGCTGCAGGAACTATAAGTAACTATAAGAAGTAGGACGCGCACCCTCTCAGAATTCACTAATCCCTCTGTGCAAGAAGCAGAACCTCCATCCCATCAGTGCAAGTAGAACCCCACCCCACTGCAAGAAGTAGAACCCCACCCCTCTACAAGATGTAGAACCCCACCCCTCTACAAGATGTAGAACCCCACCCCTCTACAAGATGTATAACCCCACCCCTCTGCAAGAAGTAGAACCCCACCCCTCTACAAGATGTAGAACCCCCACCCTCGTTATGCAAGAAATACCCCCTCCCCCCAGAGTGCCGAATCTCCTGGCTGTAGGTCTGATTGAATCTAATCGATCCACGAGTCCACCCAGGTCCTTTAAAGAACATCCCCCCCCCATCCTAGCCCTACCCACCCAGCCCTACCCACCCTGCCCTACCCGGCCAGATACCCGAGAATATTGACACCCGCTAGACGAGTCTCAAATTTACGTTGCCGGGTAGAAGCAATTCTACTTGGGGTCACCGTGACCTGACCTGGTGATGTCATTCATCAGTCTTGCCGAGTGTATTCCCCTACATAGTTATTATCAAATACATACACAACTTCTCTCCCCTTCCCAAAACTTGTGACGATTGTCTCCCCTAGATGGCAGCCAATCGATACGGCGGTGTAAACCAGCGAGTGGGTTACGTCCCTTGGATAGTCTGGCTGGCTGTAAGGATACTGAACCAAAGGCTAATGACGGGTTACCTTGATTACATACAGCTTATGAAGATGCTGCACTTTACGACCAATGTCTGCACTTTACGACCAATGTCTGCACTTTACGACCAATGTCTGCACTTTACGACCAATGTCTGCACTTTACGACCAACTACCAATGTCTGCACTTTACGACCAATGTCTGCACTTTACGACCAATGTCTGCACTTTACGACCAATGTCTGCACTTTAAGACCAATCTCTGCACTTTACGACCAATGTCTGCACTTTACAACCAATGTCTGCACTTTACGACCAATGTCTGCACTTTACGACCAATGTCTGCACTTTAAGACCAATCTCTGCACTTTACGACCAATGTCTGCACTTTACGACCAATGTCTGCACTTTACAACCAATGTCTGCACTTTACGACCAATGTCTGCACTTTACGACCAATGTCTGCACTTTACGACCAATGTCTGCACTTTACGACCAATGTCTGCACTTTAAGACCAATGTCTGCACTTTACGACCAATGTCTGCACTTTACGACCAATGTCTGCACTTTACGACCAATGTCTGCACTTTACGGCCAATGTCTGCACTTTACGACCAATGTCTGCACTTTAAGACCAATCTCTGCACTTTACGACCAATGTCTGCACTTTACAACCAATGTCTGCACTTTACAACCAATGTCTGCACTTTACGACCAACTACCAATGTCTGCACTTTACGACCAATGTCTGTACGACCAATGTCTGCACTTTACGACCAACGACCAATGTCTGCACTTTACGACCAACGACCAATGTCTGCACTTTAAGACCAATGTCTGCACTTTACGACCAACGACCAATGTCTGCACTTTAAGACCAATGTCTGCACTTTACGACCAATGTCTGCACTTTACGACCAACGACCAATGTCTGCACTTTAAGACCAATGTCTGCACTTTACGACCTATGTCTGCACTTTACGACCAATGTCTGCACTTTAAGACCAATCTCTGCACTTTACGACCAATGTCTGCACTTTACGACCAATGTCTGCACTTTACAACCAATGTCTGCACTTTACGACCAATGTCTGCACTTTACGACCAATGTCTGCACTTTACGACCAATGTCTGCACTTTACGACCAATGTCTGCACTTTAAGACCAATGTCTGCACTTTACGACCAATGTCTGCACTTTACGACCAATGTCTGCACTTTACGACCAATGTCTGCACTTTAAGACCAATGTCTGCACTTTACGACCAATGTCTGCACTTTACGGCCAATGTCTGCACTTTAAGACCAATGTCTGCACTTTAAGACCAATCTCTGCACTTTACGACCAATGTCTGCACTTTACAACCAATGTCTGCACTTTACAACCAATGTCTGCACTTTACGACCAACTACCAATGTCTGCACTTTACGACCAACTACCAATGTCTGCACTTTACGACCAATGTCTGTACGACCAATGTCTGCACTTTACGACCAACGACCAATGTCTGCACTTTAAGACCAATGTCTGCACTTTACGACCAACGACCAATGTCTGCACTTTAAGATCAATGTCTGCACTTTACGACCAATGTCTGCACTTTACGACCAACGACCAATGTCTGCACTTTAAGACCAATGTCTGCACTTTACGACCTATGTCTGCACTTTACGACAATTGTCTGCACTATATGTCAGAGATTGTCTTGTCTGCCACATACGTCTGTCACATACGTCATTTGCTTGTCAAACTACTCTCAGCACGAGTACACGTGCATGACAAAAATAACAAAGTTTATTGTACAGCTGTTAAATTAAATCTGAGTTTGGTTACTGTGTCGCAAAGCTATCTTATTCGGTGGGTCATTCCATAGGTCACCTGGCTAGGTTGGTCGCTGGGTCACCCAGCTAGGTTGGTCACTGGGTCACCCAGCTATGTTGGTCACTGGGTCACCCAGCTAGGTTGGTCACTGGGTCATCCAACGAGCTAGGTCAGTAGGTCATCAGTAGGTCATCCCATAGGTCACCCGGCTAGGTTGGTCACTGGGTCACCCAGCTAGGTTGGTCACTGGGTCATCCAACGAGCTAGGTCAGTAGGTCATCAGTAGGTCATCCCATAGGTCACCCGGCTAGGTTGGTCACTGGGTCATCCAGCTAGGTTGGTCACTGGGTCATCCAACGAGCTAGGTCAGTAGGTCATCAGTAGGTCATCCCATAGGTCACCCGGCTAGGTTGGTCACTGGGTCATCCAGCTAGGTTGGTCACTGGGTCATCCAACGAGCTAGGTCAGTAGGTCATCCCATAGGTCACAAGTTAGGTTCGCCATGGGGTTGGGGTTCTGCCATCCCCTCTCACACATTTTGTCTTCATAATCTCTCTCTCTCTCTCTCTCTCTCTCTCTCTCTCTCTCTCTCTCTCTCTCTCTCTCTCATTCCACCCCATGCGAATGGCTATCTCTGTATCTGTCAATGATCGGATCACTGAGTAACTAATAGATATACCCGCACTTCCTGTGTGGATCAGCCGACTAACTCAATGATAATTGCTCCGTCTCTAAGCAGTTTGAATCTATAAATAGAATAACAAAAGGAAGGAAACGAAATTTTAAACTGATTTCCGCCATTGAAAAAATAACATGAAACCTACAGTTCACGACACATCGCATAGGAATTTAAAATAAATATTAGGCCTATAGGTTTAACACATATTGCATAGAATATAGAAATTTAGATCTAGTGTTCTGGTTAGTAGTTATTTCATGTTTATTAGAATATAGTCTAGAATCTAATCATACGGCTGCATAAAAAGAAAGTTTGAAGGAAATAGAATAGGAATCTAGAGAAGCGGAGGTAAGAAGGTTAAATTAGTAATTTGCATGATTTTTATTGCAGTTTCACTGTTTGTTAGGCCCAATTATTAAATCTTTAGATCAGAGGTCCAGCTTGATCATGTGTGGTATCTATTGTGGTGCATTGGAATGAAAAGCCCACATACTTAAATATAGAATCTAGTAGGCCTATACTATAACTGTACTGCCCTATACTTTAAATTTGTTGCCAGAAGAAAAAAGCCTATTTACTATTAGGCCTATTAGTTATAATTTAATTAAATTGAAATATTTGATTATCTTTATAGTTTATAGTGAATGCATGCTAATGAGCATTATTCAAGCTGCTGTTATATTTAGGCTCATAGGCCTATAATTTTATATACTCTATAGCTTAGGCTATATACTATAGACTATATATTATATACCAATATTGTGCATAAAACTTAAAGCATGTAAGCATACACAATAATAATTATCATTAGACCTATAGTAACTAAGACTCGTACTATTTAGTACTACTTTAATAGTACCTTTAAACTATTAGGCATAATGAAATAATGATTAATGATTTCAGTGTTTTCCGCACTCGAGAGGAAAGAGGTTGCTGGGAACTTAGAGACTAATCTTTGCCAACATACTGGATTTCTGGTGATGACAATAGCAGCAAATAGTATGCGGCTCAGTTAATACTAAAAACAATTGATTTTACTAATTAGTGGTAAGCTCTTTTTTAAAATAATATATTATAACATGGTATCGCAAAGGTTCAGGTTATCCAATAAATGGTAATTAGAGTCAGGTTTAGGACTATAGTTTAATGCTTGGTTAGCAATATGCATCAAGTTGGGAAAGACATAGAAATGGAAATACATAGAATTTAATGTGTTCATTCGCAAACGTTACTATTTAAATTTTTTTAGGCCTGCTATTTATTGCTGAATAATAAAATCACTATACTTATCCACTATATTATGTTTAAATAAAGTGAGTTTAGATCAGTCGAGTAAATAAATTTAATAGCAAGACATGGCTAAAATTTACAATATATATATATATATATATATATATATATATATATATATATATATATATATATATATATATATATATATATATAATTTGATTGCTATTCTATAAAAGTATGTAAATCACAGACCAAACATTACTTTGTATTGTTTCTACAACTTAACAAAAATGCTACTACTTTGATGGATTGCACTAAATAGGGGTTAGCTTTAATTTAATAATTAGTGAGATATTCTTGCTAATCTATGTGTAAATTGCTTTTCAGGACTATGAGTGTGTGTTTGGCCATCCAGATTTCATAACTACAACTGATGTTCAATTACAAGGGATATTAATCAGTCTCCGTGGACTATACACTGTGCCTAGTTTCATCCTCAGGTAACTGTACTATAGGCATAACCCATTTTTAAAAGTAATTATTATAGCAAGAGATAGCATTGTATGTTATAATAAATATAATGGATTTTAATCCAAAATATTTTATTAATTATTGTCTTTTTTTAAATTCTAATAAATCAGTGAGTTGTACAACATAGAGGGTATTATAATTGAATGATAATTGAAACACATGGTTAGAGCTCAAAACTATGTACTTATCTAATATAATTAATATACTGAAACAGTTTTATTGAAGCATATTATTTCATATTTTACCACACAGAGACTGATGTGTAAGCTTAAAGTAAAGACATCAAATCAAAGTATCAGCCATCAAGAGGGTAAATATTGATAGTCTACTTCATTAATCTTCAATATGAATGAACACAATTTTAAATCTATAATCTTTGCTGATAATGTTTGTTTCTTGTTATTCATCATGTTCAGTGCTTTATCTTTTCAAAGTAATTAGTTATAGTAAAGAAATATTAGAGATAGTAATATAAATTTGTAATTTATTTTTCTTGCAAGTTCCACAAAAGAAAGTATCAAAATATTTTGCCTTATTTCATTTACAGAAAAACATTCAAAATCATATTGTGATACACAAGTCAAGCAAGTCTGACCAGCATTTTGATACAGGCCAAGAAAAAGCTGGATACTTGATTGGAAGGGTCGCACAAAAAACATGGGTTATCACTAGGGAAACAAGCTCGCAATACAGTTCACTGTTAGGACAGCAAGCCAAATACTTCTAAACTTATTTGAATCATTTTTGCTGTTTATTATAATTCATCCAATTGTCTTATTAAATATATAAATTTATATATATACACAATTCCTAATATAGAATTTCTAAAAATGTTTTATTATAATATTTAAAAATGAAACAAACATGTTCCCAGAACACAGCCACATAATGTCAACATGTTCCCAGAACACAGCCACATAATGTCAACATGTTCCCAGAACTCAGCCACATAATGTCAACATGTTCCCAGAACACAGCCACATAATGGCAACATGTTCCCAGAACACACAAAATGTCATTATGTGCCCAGAACACACAAAATGGCAACATGTGCCGAGAACACAAAAAATGACAACATGTGCCGAGAACAATGCCCCTTACAGATGACATGTTCCCAGAACACAGCCCGTAGTTGGTCTGCCATAAAAAGTTAACAATACTTTACTTTTTCCTTAACAATTTTACAAGCAGGTAATAAAGCCATAAATCTTTACTGTGGATATAGCCAATAAATAGGGTAACCTTCACTATATGCAATTTGTAGTTTTCAATGCCTGTCCCATGCATATTATTTAGCCTATTGTTTTGGGCCTTGCTTCATTTACTCAATAAATTATATAGGCATGAGAATTTTCATTTTAATCTGCAAAAGCTACATTCTGTACATTATTATTTTCAAACTACATCATATATTTTTCTCTTCTCTGATAAAAAATATTCCTCATATTGTTTGTGTCAAGTATTTTATTTTTATCTATGCAATGCTATATTCTTATTTTATAATAATTACTTTTATACAAATTCTTTTGAAAACTGTTCTTTATTGATTTGTATCATTTTCTTTATTTCTGAAAAATAAAACTTTGTTTGGGAATCCTTTTTTTGTTTCTGTACAAATTAATAAACATAAATACCTACCAGGCTTAATATCCAGCAACATTAAACAATTAAGTAGGGCCTATTGTTAGTAATGGTAAATTATATACTAATTAATGTGATTTCTCCTGGCCACCTTGTTCTGAATACCTTCAACTGTGTCAATGTTGCTACCAACTCCAATAATTAAAACTGAAGCCATTTACTATGAAGTAAAACTTGGGTGTAATCCAAATCCACCCAGTTGCCGGGGGCAAGGTACCAAACATGATGTCCAGTAGAGGGTTAAGAAAGTATCATTATTAAATCACTATTAAACCCCTCCTCGCCTACGCCATTGCTTGTATGCATATGGACGTTATCGGAATTTACTGTATTGCTTATAAGTCGAAAATGCGAAAAAGACACGTTTAACATTACTAGTTTGAAGAATAACATTCATGTTAGCCGAAACAGGTGTATTCTAAAGTTGTTTAAATTCATTTTATTGTTCATTACGATTATGATGTCGTAAAATATAGGCCTATTTAAAAAAAGCATAACTAAAAAGTGTTTAAACGCATTTTCTTCTTAGAAAAGCCGCACATGCATGATATCATTAACATTACGGCAAATCAAACCCTTGAAGAAGCCCCATCAACCATTCAATTATTACGATGGGCAACAAATAAAACGCCCGCATCAAGGTACAGTCCTTATGCTATCGACATTAGCTCAACCCCGGCAACTAACGTGTCCCAAAACCAAGAATTGAAATCTTGACCCATTATTCTGATTAATTAGTGGTTAAACATCTTTAGGCATCTGAAAACGTTAGTTTTAATCTAGTGTACTCAAAAAGGAACAACATAAAGCTTTATGCCGCCTTAAAAACCCAATCCCATGTTACGCAAGGCGTCGATAGAGAAAGAATAAGGCTTTGAGTCAGAACAGGCAAGGGCTTAGATAACTGCCAAAATACCTAATCTGTAGACCTCACAAGTCTAGACGATATATTTGTGCCTCTGTTTTTAGACTTTCAGAACAAATGCATGTGATGTGGTCAGTAGGCACATAAAAGAGAAAAGTAGTTTTAATCTAGAGACTTCAAACATTTCTGAAGGACCGAATTTGAACTTGTAGGCCGTGGTGTCGATGCCAAAGTTTAGCGTCGTCCGGAAAGATAAGCTATCGTTATATCATCTCTATGCCCATATTGTGACAGATATTTACAAATGTGTCTAATATAGGACAGAATACATAGCTACTCAACAGAGATAAGCGCAATCACTTGTCCACGACTTAAGAAACCACTGTACTGCAAAACCCACCTAAATTGAAAATGTCTTAGATGTGTGTTTTAATACAAATGTGTACCTCGTCGCGAGTTAGGACCTGTAGGTAGTCTGTTACTACTCTATATCTAAAAACAATAAAAAGATAACGTGAATTTTATTTGTTCAATTTCTTGGTTAACTGTATTTGTTGCATCTTGTTCAATTTTGTTATAAAGGGTACAAATGTAACAAAGAAAATTGTGACTAAGTTTCCGGGTGCGGGTATGCGGACACTAGTTAAAGTAGGCCCTATATATCTATTTATATTTATAGAAATGAAAGTATGTTTATCTGTTTGTCCTATATGAATTACTACATCTTTTTCATCGGATCGCCATAAAACTTTGTGAACAGAGTTTTTTCCAGGAATCTATTCGGAGGGGGGGGGGGGGGAAGCAGAGCCCCCCCCACCCCCCCCCCGAAGAAAGTCTATCGACCCCCCCCCCCCACCCCCGAACGAAACGGAATTTATATAGAAAAAATACTTTTAACAGTGTCCGCACGCCCCCCCCCCCCCCCGGAAAGATTTCGCCAGGGCGGCACCCTCGCAGGAAGCAGAAGCGTAGCAACCTATTCCGGCGCCCGGGGCGAACTATCAATTATGTGCCAACCCTATTCAAACGCTGGCAAAAAGGCGCCCATCCCTACATACACTCCCCTATATAAAATAATTGAGGATATCAGCCATGTATAAATCTGTTTTCTTAAATTTTACTGAAGAATGAGGATTTTTTTAAAAATTGTCTACCCCTTTTGGCGCCCCATTCGATCTGGGGTCTCTGACAGGAAGCAATGCAATTTTTCTCCATAAAAATAAAAGCCAGATAAAATTTGACACTGTTCGTACGAGAGTCATAAAATTTTGGGTAGTTGGTGAAAAGGGTTTCGAGAAAGAAAAAAATTCTTAAGTGTGGCACCCTGGGAGGGTTCGATTTTTCTAATTATACGATTATGAGCTCAGAATCCAGAGGGGAATCCAGAGGGGCTATCTCATCAATTGCGGTCATAGGTAATACTAGATTCAGCAGAGGCGCAGCGAGGGGGGCGGGGGTACATATGTCCCCGGGTGCCAACCCTAGGGGCGCCAAAATGGTTGGAAAAATTTAAAAGCTCATTTTAGCTATAGCTTTGCATTATAAATATTTAAAAAATACGGGGGGGGGGGGGGGGGGGGCGCCAAATTGAAAGTTTGTCTCCGGCGGGAGGGGGGGGGGCGCCAAATTGAAAATTTGTCCCCAGGCGCCAGGAATGGTGCTACGCCTCTGAGATTCAAAGATAAAACTACACCAGGTTCATCCGCCAGCTCCCCGGCGGTTGAGTGGCCCAGAGCGGCCAAGACCCATCTCGGGCGACACTACGGTTTAGATGGGCTACTATAAATGTTCACTAAGTAGAATAATGAGCGCCCGCCGGCGCCCTGGCAGTTGGCGACAGCGAGCGCCCCGGGCTATACAGAGAGTGCCTCCTTAAAGAGCACCCTACAATAGGGACACGGTGGCACACGACATTTTATAATTAAACCGAATTAGGGGCGCCCCTGCGGAAATATAACCAGTGGCTCCCTGGAGCGCCAAGGGACGCGTCTCTAACACATGGGCGGTCGCCAATGTGTGTTCTACCTCACTATTACAGAGGTTGATTAACGTACACTCAAGGCTTTCATACAGTGAGCCTTGGTGCGTCTAGGCGGCAGTGTGGACAAACCCGCGCCCCAAAAACGAATATGTGGGTTTGTTTGTTTAAGCATTATCAAAGATTTCATTCGTTTGTCATTCAAATTTGAGAAGCGAATGCTAATACCCCTGTGGTGGTTTCTACGAAAAAAAAAATCGATTTGGTGGCGCCCTGGCAGGGTTCCATTTAGCTCCCCGGGTTTTCCCGTGAGTACTATGGTACCTTTGTTCGTTTTAATAATTGCGAAACGCTATGAATATGATGGGCTACTATAATCGCTCACTATACCGAGTGAGGCGCCTTCCTACCTACGCCCACCTACCTACATACCTAACTCCCTGCCTACGTACCTACCTATCTACTAACCTGCCTGCGCTGCTGCCTGCCTACCTACTTTCCTACCTACCGTTATTCCTGCCAAACTGCTTTCCTTCCACCCCGCCTGTCTACACACCTCACATCCTACTTACACACACACATATCTTCGTATGTATATATGTATGTGTTAGTGTGCTCTAGGACTATGTATTTTTACATTTTTGTTGTTACGTAGAACTATTCAGTATAAAGGAGTTTCCTTTTTTTTTTGACGTTGTAACTGCCGCTAAAATATTCTTTTTTGTATGTGTGCATAAAATAGTGTAGGTTTATTAACAAAAGTAAACTTTAGTATGTATTTAAGTGTATATAATCATTTTCGTCAAGCCAATGTGTTCATAATCTTAAATTTAAAAACCCATGAAACTCGATAGCTGAAGATTTAGAATGAGAATAATTGCTATTTAACCAGTAACACCTATTCTAATTATTGTAATAATATTTTTTTAAATAAATATACACAGAGATAGATTGTTTTCTTATATAATTTATTTAAAAAGTCAACTGTATTTCATAACGAAAATTAACACAAAATACATTCGAATAGAAACTGTCAAGGGAGACTACTCTAATATTTGTAGGAATAATAGTTTTTATTTAGAGGTTTTTTTTTATTATTAGAAGAAAAGTTAATAATGTAGGTTCTATAAAAGATTACCTTGCATTTAAAAAAAAAGATATTCGATAGGTTTAGAATGAGAAATAGTCAAAATTATTTATTATATTCGTTAGTTGTTTTTTTTAATAATATAGTACAAAGACCTGTTTTAATTATTTTTTTAAAATCTTATTTTAATTAATAAATTATAAATGAAGATCGAGGATCTATATTTTTAAAAAAAAATAGTTTAACTGTCCCTAAACAATTGTATCAATCGCTGAGAAATTAAGAATTAATAATTACGTTTAACGCTTTATTAATTAAACGAGTTGAATTATTTCCGTTTTGATAAACTCTCTCTCTC